CCTTTCACAGGCCGAGAAGGCGACGCCATGGAGGCACTGGGTGCAGCACCCCTTTCGACTCCACTCCGCGCGCGGCGCCACGGCAGCTTATGCCGCACGTGCGCTCATCCCCCACGCTACGATTACGCAACAGCGCCCCCCCCCCATCACCAATCAGTGTGTCTACGTCACACTAAGAACGACTCAAAACTACCCTTGTTCCCGAGACGGGCATGTACCTGGCAGGCGGTAGTAGTAGTTGAACTGCGGCCGAGTGGAGTGCTCTCTCGCTGGCCTGGCCCCCTGACTGCAGGCCTGCCAACCGCTCTGGCAGCACAGGAGTGACGTCACTGGCGAAAATCGAGTGACTTATTGGGTCGGGGACGTATGCTGAGTGTCTGAGAACTGCAGTGAGAACTGTAGCAATCCGTCATCACCAGGAGAATGAATGTCGTAAGCAGAAATAAAACATGTCACAAGCAGAAACAATTACAGTTACGCATGCGTTTTCCTTCATCCATTGTAACGTACCCCGTCAATGCTATGGGTTCAGAACTCTTTCAAATTCAGTAGGCCTTCATACAGCTTGTTGTGAATAGTTCGCAACAGCTCTTCCATCCTGAAGTATGGCATAATATTCTGGGAAAATACATCTTATATCTCCCAGAAGTTTAGATTGCAAAAAATAATGGTGTGGGTAATAAGCAAATTCCACCACGTGATTCTTGCAAGCCACTCTTCATTAAGCTAAGAATTCTTACGATACCTTGCCTCTGAATTAATGAATCAGTGTTTTTTTTTCAATAATGACTTACTCAAGGGTGAGAATATATGTTCAGCAAACGCTGATGTCTATAATTATAACACTCGACTTAGTAATCCTATTTATCAGGTGACAATATCAACAGCACACTACAAAAATGCACATACAATTCATATAAATCATATAACACTTTGCCCTATGACATTAAACAATTAAAATCGAAACACAAGTTTAAGTTTCAAGTAAAATATTGTCATCTGTATAACTGCTTCTATATAATTAGAGACTTAAATAAACGAAGCATCAAATAGGAAAGTAATATTCATTTTAACACCTATATTGTGACGTACCGCGTCTCCACGCCACCGCGGCCCCCATTTCGAGGCCTATCTTTTGCGAGAAAAAGCCTTTGTTAGAAATATTTTATTGTCTTTTGCGACTCGAGTTGCTCCCTAAGCGTCCCTTTACACGTAGACCCAGCAGCGCGCCACCGCGCACCGCGGCTGGCAGCAGAGCAGAGGTTAAAATGGAGGTCTTCCCACGTGCGGTGTATTTCGGCGGCAGACACTGGCCACGAGCTGCACGGGAGGGATCCCGCGCCTCCGCTAGCGAAGCGTTGCTGTGAATGGAGATCTTCCCGCTGGAACAATTGCCGCAGCGATTTACCTGACATTTCTGTGTGCGTCGCATGCGTTTTACGCACACATTTCTTTGTTCGTCGTCGCCGAAGGGTCGGAGAAATTGTCCGTGCTCACCCCTTTCCATGGCGAGTAGCTGTGGGGCGGTGACCCCGAGAGGAGAGCCCTACCGCCTATCGGATGCGCGCGGCTGTGTCCATGTCGGAAGGGGGCGTAAGGAACGAGTAAATCGTTGCCCACTTGCCGTTGGCCCGTTGGCCTGACAGAGAGCCGCCCCTTTTTGTGGGAGTGCACGCGGCGCCTGCACCGCCCCTCCGCCCCTCCGCCCCTTCCGCCCTTCCGCTCCCAATCCGCCCTGCCGCCCTCTCCGCCCGGCTTACCGCCCACTACCGTCCCTCTCCGCCTGCATTCTATCCTGCCCACCGGCCCTGCCCGCCCGCACGTCGCTGAAAGTGTTGCAGAGGACGCGATTTACAGTATCACCCATGTCACGCCTATTTGACCGACAGCTGGGACGACCTGACGCTTTTTACCGCCTCCGCCCCGTTGTGAGTATCTCGTGATGATAGCTCTGCACGCACGTTTACATCCCGCTAATAACCGTGGAATTTATGGTAACATACTCGGAGCTGACCTATTGCGGTCACATGGGTCCAGTAACGACCCACGAAGAAAGATCTGACCATCACCCCCAGGGACTCGCGCCCGGTGCCACGCCCCTTTGGCGGCCGGCGTCCCACAAGAATGTCCCGCGGAAATGTCAGCCCGTTACGCCTGTCACTGCAGCTACAACACCCGTACAAATCATCCGAACAAAGAGAAAGCGTTAACATACGTCGAGTTTGAGCTTCTGAGAAGAATCAAAGAAAGGGAGGTTCATTAGACCAAACACACGGGAAAGTTCAACGAAGCTTCGTGAAGCTTGACCACGTGACATCGGCGTCAGTGATTGGGCGATTTCGACGCTGCTGCAAGGCCCGCGTCTAAAAAAGTTTACATTCTAGTTGGGCGAGAAGCGAACAGATGTTGGGATCGAGATTTTTCGCGGGACGTCTAGGCTTCGAGGCAGGAGCGCTTCACAGGGAACGCCCCTTCGCAGACAGTCGTCATCGAACCAGTGGCGGTTATGACAGGGAGATTCATGGGGCCCTCCCAAATAATACACATACATCTTTCCTTTCCGTTTGTATAGTATTTAATGTTAAAGTAGTTGTTCGACATGTCATTCTTCGATTTCAGAATTCAAAAAGGCCGGCATTCCATGTTCCGTGTTTCCTTTCATTGGTTAAACGCGTTTGAGAACTGTGTTCTATTACAGGGTATCCAAATATGGCGTTGCCATAAGCGCAATACTTTGGAGTTGTGAAAATTGCAACATGGGATTTGCAAATGGCGGCTGTCTGCGGACACAGCCCGGGGTCGATGACACTTGCGTGTTCCCGAAAGAAATGTTTCCTTACAGAATGTTCAGAGCTGCCTACTGTCGGATTTTAGAATTCTGTCCTAAATACGTTTCCTTCGGTTCCCCTGTAGGGTTCAGTAGTGCACAAGACCTGACCCATGATAAGGTGTTAGTCTTCAAATGTCTGTAAATTTATTTCTATAGTCTTAAATTTAAGTAATCACTTAGTAAAAAATAAAGTGGGGTCCCTTTTGAAACCACATTGTTCTAACAAATGCATTTCATTACTCAATAACCAAAAAGCACATCTGATCCTAAACGTAATTCTGACAATTGAACTCAGTGAGACTCCAACCCTTTAGATCTCCCTTAGCTCTACCGGGAACGATTTCATCAAAAGATCTTCGGCTGCTGCTGGTGATCGGCTAAGAAGGTAAGTTGGTGGACAGTGTCCATAACCTCGCTCCCAAAACCATGGCTGTACGTACCAGAGGAGGGTACGTTATCGTACAATACATAATGTATAAGTTACCCTTTGGACTGTATAATACTAAGCAACCAATGAAACGTATTGTACCTCTGCCTCTGGGTAAACGACCCCCATCTCAGTCAGGCTTTTCTTCCAGGCGACGAAATACGCGATGTTGAATTTAGCTCAGACGTTTCTTCTAAGCTTGAGGATATTTTACAAGCAAAATGATGCCTTTTTAACACGTATATTCCACCCGAAAAATCAAGACAATATTGCTGAGGTGATTCCTATAACTTTCCTCCCTAATCTAGTAAAATGAGAAAGGTAAAAATATAGTAAAGACATTGACATTCTCTTATACTGATTACGATTAAAATAGTTTCTACTTAGTTTTACTTAGTTTACCAGGTTTAAGTCAAGAATGTTTTATTTTTTACTCGCATTGTATAATTTATTATTATAATTTAATAAGTATTTAACTATAACGTGATAGTAAAATGCATAATTTGAGTTTCCATTGGCTGCATTTCACTTCTTTTCAAGCATCTGTAAAAGTCACGTAACCGCACTGTAAAATGATCAAGTGCTCTCATCAAACAGAGAATCACAAGATTACTAATTTCAACTTGCCTGTTGAGCATCATGTGGTGTAAAGTGTCCCATGAAGTTAGGAAACATAGTGAAGTTGTATGGAATACGGTGGTAGTGACAGAAACTGATCATAGGTCGACAGATTCCTGCAAGAAAAAAATTCACATATGCAAATATATGCATGCAGATAACATTGAATTAAGTGAGGACAGAAGAATCATGAGTGACTATTTATAAGATTTTAAATTTTATTATTAATTCTGCAATGAACTATTAGAATTAAAATGAAAAGTGCATAAACAGTGAATGTGTCTATTATGTTTACACGTAGTATTTCCGCAATGAAATCCCACCCAGAAAATTGAGAAAAACGTCTTTCTTGAAGAACAGAACAAAAGGTAAACCAAATCGACATAGCAGATAGATTATCAAATCAGTGTATTATGAACCATTACAAATAGTGCGATTTACATAACAATCACAGTATATTTAAGTAAAAACTTTCTAAGATACAAAATGTAATGTAGAAAGAAATAAACATAAAAATTATAACGTAACATAGATGAAATAACAACATTTTATGAAACTTAGTACAAATTTTTAAAATAGCAAAAATGTTGAATCAAATGTAAGAAACCCTAACTTTTATGGATACATGTTGCTACCAACTGACTCATTGAGCGATGATTTGTGGGATTCTATGAACAAGGCCCATCTAACCCTATTATGAATACAGTTGAAAAAGTCACATATTAATTTTTGTTATGAGACCTGCCAATACTCCCAAACTTATTTAATCTATATTGTATTATATACAATATAACTTTATTACAGAGTATACAGTTTGTCGAACAAATAAAAAAACAAAATTATTGAGATATCTGTAACATAGAAATTTGCAAATTATCGAGGTGGATTTCTCTCAAGTATTAAATAGCAGTTATAGGAACACAAGTAGATTCTCCGTTTGGCTGTAAGCAACGTTCTAGATGGGTTTTGAAAAATGATACCAATTTTAAATTTTAAACTCCTTGGGTAATTTTCCTGACGGCCCAAATGACCATTCTCTAGTGTACGAAAGAACCAAAACCACTCCATTTAGTTATATTGCGTTACAGTTGAATGCAAGTGGAGCAGGCGTGCGTATGTGCTCACCGGGGGCGGGGTTCTCCGGGGGCGGGGGCGGCGCCGTGGCGGGCGCGCTGCCGTTGACGTAGCGCACCGTCGACGGGTTCGCTGCAACAGAGGCAGGCGCCGTTTTGGCTCAGGCGACGGGCGCTCTCGGCGACTCCTCAAGCGCTACAGAGCCGTCGTTCAGAAAACATCGGCTATGTTAATGCGAGCTATGGATGCAATCACCCAGAAGGTTTTGTCTTGGTTAGTAATTTGTTTCATTGCTTTAGTGGTGCGCTTTCTCAAAGGAAATGCGAATGTAACTTTTGTGTCGAGGCTGTCTGTCGAAAAGCTTGAGTGCCGACTCAAAAACGTCGCCTCAGTGAAACCGTCTCCTTTCTCTGTGTCGGCAGCTGAATGCGTCACACGAACTCTACAGTGAAAGTCTGGTGCTGACTTTCATAAAGTCTCTAAACGTACGTATAGTGGCTCAATACCATAACAGATGTGTACCAATCCGTAGACTCTTTAAAGGGAGGCATGCGTGATAGGGCTTACTTTCGTTCTAATACTGCATTGAAACACATGGTATTTTCGAAGGTGGATTTAATGTTCCCTTTGCATGAGATGAAGCCTTCTGTTATAATTATTTATTAAAACTATTTTACAACTAACTTATCTTTAATTCGTCCGTACGGGACAGAGTTCATCTTTGGAAGCAGGGCGACGCCCTTCCCGGCGGTCACGACTCCGGTTACGAGAGCGGCGGCCCTGTAAAGAACGGTTGTAAAGAACGCCGAAAATCGGATACACCGTTAACAAACACGCGTGAGGACTTTGAAATACGCATCGGAATACGTACCGCATAGGAAGAAGGGCGAAGAGATAAGCAGAGACGAGTATTCCGGTGCCGGTGTGGTCAAGAGGCGAGACGAAAGAAGATTGGACGTGGATCTGATGACAGGAGAGAAAGAAGGCGGCGTTTCGAGTGACATTGCGGACGGCTGGTCTGCGAGGAAGTGAAGCTAAGGTGGGCCAAGGTCGATCGACGACAACGCAGAACGGTTTGCAAGCTGAGCATTGAGCACCCGTCAAGGTAACAAAAATTTTGTAAAACGATTAGGAGACGACAGAGACTTGAACGATAGCACGGCCGCAGAAAGGCTGTGTTTGTAAATTTGCACATTCTAGATAGTGGCACAGCAATTGAAAGAACTTGTACGCTGGTAATACAGTTTTTAATGTTAAATGTTGCGAGAAAAACTGAGTTAATCTTTGTTCCTCAACATTGTGTAATCTGGATGAGGAGAATTTAACTGGAAATAATTGTAGTAAGAAAGCCATTCAATACCGTGTTCTGCTTAAAACCTAAGTTTCTGTGTAGAAAGAGAATATAATTTTGTTGCACTCGTCAGACAAAGGAGTTAATATTTGTTGTCTAAACAGTGCTGGCTAAGCAATAGTTACCGTGCACGGGTATTTGTTGTAACATAGCAGTGAATTAGAAAGAAATACTCGAACCAGAGTGAGTAAGCAATTTTTAAACGGTCTGAACAGTATTTTGTTTTCGTATTGAATATTTGTGTGCAATTTGATATTTGGGATTTTGTGTATTGTTTGCCAGTGCTGATATATGTGTCATATTCTGGAGAATATACGCACCTGAGTCTGTCTCGGTGTAAATTGTTCTCATACCCCAAAAGATCTTGCCCCCTTGAGATTTCAAAGCTCGTTCAGAGCATTCTTTCTAGCGCCAGCAACTCATACAATTATAGCGTTAGTATATATATATATATATATATATATATATATATATATATATATATATATATATATATATACACACAGCCAACCTCCTACACACAGAGCATTCTTTTTTATTTTCTCGCTACGACTGCAGAGAGAAAGTTATGTAAAGCTGTGCGAAAAAGGCTGCGACTTTTCGGCAGAAAAAACTATTATTGCCCGCCCCTGGTAACGAAATAATAGATAAAACAATTTGCTAAATTTAGAAAAAATCCTCTAACGCATGGCATAGCCAGAATCCATGTTTGTGACTCATTGATACCGAAAAATCGATTGTCGGCAAAATGTCTGTCCGTCTGTGTGTAAACAACTAACCGGCTAAACGGCTACGCCGATTTTCTCCAAAATTGATATTCCCTGATCTATCTAATTGATATCCAGCCCACTTGACTTTCAAACACACATTTTAATTTTGAAAGATACTTACAAGAAGCCGCTGGGATATTTTCAAAATTGCTCCATTGATTTGATTAAATTTTGTTGTTGGATAGTGTACACGACGTTTAAGAAAATTGGGTCTCATGTTAGCTAAAAACCCTGATTTTGGAAAATTGAAAGAAATCAAAATCTTTTCTGCTAGTTCCTGCAACTGCAATAATGACACAATTGATTTTCTTAATGAAATGTGTTTATAAAAGAAGATCCAAATAAAATAATGGTGACGTTTTTGAAGAGAATAGTATTTTTAATTTTTGCACTTACTAATGTAAGAAGAGATTGTAATCGTCCGCCGGAAAAAAGCGAATTTTCGACACAAAAACTCTTATCAAAATGTTGTTGGTATCAAAAAATGGATAAATCCAGATGCTTTAGCATCTTTTCTATATTCATACAGAAAAAAAACCCTAAAGCGTGATGTAATCTAAATCCATTTTTAGTGCGTCCTTCATACCAAAAAATCGGTTGACGGCAAAAGTCGGTCTTTCTGTCTGTCTGTGCGCAACACTAGCGCATAAACCGATAAGTTGATTTTCTCCGAAATTGGTATTCCTCAATCACGCTGGTTGATGACGCGACCCTGGAATTTGAAACCGATATTTTACTTTGGAGGGTACTTTACATGAAGCCCCTTTGGATATTTTCAAAATTAAAAAAACTTACTCCATAGTTTTTATCACATCTTGCTGTTGAATAGTGTAAAGGACGTTTAAGAGAATTGTGCATTGAAACACTCTAGAAATATGTAAATTGGTTGTTATTTACAAAAGAAATGAATATATTTGTTCGAAAAAAAATTACCAGAGAAATAAAAAAGTCGAATGAAGTAAATTGGATTCTTTCTTATTTCTGTGTTATTTTTTCTTCCTGAACAAATGTATTCATTTATTTGCAATTCCTCAGTTAAGGAGGTCTTAGGGTTCGAGTTCGGATGATATCAGGATTTTCGACACTAGTTAAATAGGTACATAGGAATTCTGCAATGTCTGGAGATGAATTCTAGCCGCCGACTGTCTCGTCTCGAGTTTTCTGTGATTTCTCCTTCCAAAACCAGCGACTGCGGGAGCAATACCCTAACAAAAGGTGCAAAGACCACGCGTGACCGTTTCTTCCTTTTTCCTTGTCCTATGCTCACCCCTTACTTACACACATTTACACCTACATGTCGAGATGGGGCAGTACCCTAGCAGTGCAGCAGTGCCCGTTGGTGGGAGATACCTGGTTGCAGAAAAAACAGCAAGCCGATGTGTAGGTCGTCGCCGGATTTCACTATTCAGAGGAGGAATATCACTGTCACCTCCTCAGGAATAATCATGCACTACACATACGTGACTAATGACCTTAGCCAGATGAGATGTCTCGAAATAATCGGTTCCCAAATCACGTATATCCGATAAAATGTGAACGTGGATTCTTCTATAGAGGACTAGAGTTCTAGCAGCGTATAGGCGACCCTGACAGTTCACTCCCTACGTGCTGTTCTCCTTACGTCATGTGACCTGTCCTGAAGCAATCAGCTTGGGAAAATTTGTTCACTTTCTTACAGCCAGAGTTCATATAAAAGACAAGGTTCGTCTTCGGCGTAAGTTTGAACATGACGAAGACGTGCCATAGGGTGTCAGTGAGTGTTAATGTTTCCAGATTTATCTGTGGTGTAGGTGTCGCCATGTTCGTAGTAATGTGTGAGTTGTCAGAGTCGCTTATTCTGCTAGAACTCTAGACTTCTACAGATGAATCCACGCCCACATTTTATCGGATATACGTGATTTGGGGTCCAGCGGGCCAACTGATTATTTCGAGACACCTCATCATTTCAATACCCTTATAGGCTGCAGCTGTGGGAAGGGGCTGGGGGGGGGCGTACCTGTGGAGGCCGCGAACCAGACGACGGCCACCGCCGCGCTCAGCCCGAGCACAGCGCCCACGCCCACGCCCACGCGCGCGCGCACGCCCAGCGCCATCGCCCGGGAGGCTGCTGCTCCGCTGCTGAGCGCCCGCCCGCCTCTGCCTCAGCCGCTGCCCCGCGCGGCCGCAGTCGCCCCGCCCCCGCCCCGTCAGCAACGCCGGGGGCTCCTCCGGGGCGGCCAGCGCCAGCCCCACGCCCACCACCAATCATGTTTACATTACATCTTTCTGCGACAAACTGCTTCGACCACGCTTCTCTAGTATTTAGTACGTTCCAAAACCCACTTTCGAAGCAAATAATGTGCTTTCGAATGCTCTATCAATTTATATCTATGGCCTTCAGAACATTCCGTTGCCCTCGCAACAATGTCAACGAAGTTTAGTTAATTTTAAACCTCAACCTCACATTTCGGCATCTGTTTTCAAAATGTAATTATTTAACAGAAAAGTGTTGTATGATGAGATTTACAGATCGTTCCATATAATAGAAGGGTTTAGTTTTCTTCCCTGAACATTTATATCCACGTTGATTTTTTCACATTCTCTCAAATTTTCAGTCTTGTAATTACATAATTTGAGACTACGAATATTATACAGCAAAACATTTGATATAAACATTTTCTGAGGTAAATTGGGGCCTCCTTTTGAGAAAATATCATGTCGGAATTTCAGAAATCGTGTAATTTTCAACTCATTCACACATGCAGTTTGAAAAAGCTTCTGATAATTGTTAAACGTTTCATTTCTGTAATGCGTACAATTAACGCTGTAATTAGATATTAACAACATATTAGACGTTTAAAAAATACATATATGAATTTTTTTAAATAAAGTTTTAATAAAAAAGGTCCTTACATTATGTGACTTTTTACAATTTATTTTATTTATTGGTGAGGCTAATAGCGACTGACGTTATGTGTTATACATAATCAATACAACGTTCGAATTATATCCCCCGACTCGCCGTCACTCACGGTTAGACCACTTCCCGTCCACCAATCGAGACTAATAAGGTGCCATTCGACGCGCTTCGGTCTGCTGGTGGTGGACTGGCGATTTGTGTGCTGATCCGTCCAGAAGATTCTAGAGATTTCCCAAAGCTTGTTTTCGCGATTTTTAGCGCTACGATCTAGCAGTGGCCGCATGACCGCTGCCCCAACGCCATCCTGTGGCGCAGCTGCAACGCCAGGCCATCGCTGTCGCCTGGACGCCGCTGTTCGCAGCATGCGATGGAGGGACTCCGAAGGGAAAAGTGCTTCGTCAGCGTTGCCAGCCCGTTGGATAATTATCTCTTTAGAGGTTAATCATTTTGGTATGGGAAGCATCTACGATAGTACTAATAGGATCACATCCCTTTGGATGATAATTTCAACTACAAATATATATTCTAATACAAATCTACAAGAATGTAATGGTATGTTCTAGAATAGGATCTTGCAATTGTACACATTTTCTTAAATAAGCTGCAGCGCATTTAAATAATATGCTGAAAGAATATAATCTTCAGAACAACACTTTTGGGAACATCAGATTAGGGTCTCCAACACCGTATTTTGGGAAGTGTATTGGCAGTATACCGAAAAAACATCTGACAAGAAGAGTTGTAAACATTGTGACGTCGTCGATCGCACAGACTTTCCCATATTTATTTTCTATTTCCTGTCGTCTCGTCTAGCTATTCGAACTTGCCACATACTCTTACCAAATCCATCTATCGCCGCCCAAAGTGCATTTTTTAAAAACTTTTCTCAATTTTTCGGTTTCCTAATAGTAGAACCGACTTATTATTTTAGGAATATTAAAGAACCTTCATTAGAAGTAATTTAAAGCACTTCAATATACAAATACAATAGTGTTTACAAATTGCTGGTAATGTGCATATTGACGGCGTAAGAAATCTTTCAAAAACATTACATTTTTGAAATTAAAAAAAAATAAAAAATATGCTCAAACATGAACTTTATGTCATAGTTTGAGCATTTCTGAAAATGCAGAAATTTGGGCTAGTTTTACAGTAAACGATCGAGTTTTCAAGAAACTTTATACGACATTATTTAAAGCACATGTACTCATAAATATACTAATGTGAACAAATCACCGCTATTGTAAATATTAACGACGTGAGAGACAAGTTAAAAAAATTAATCGACATTTAATAATCGACATCTGGCTTCCGTTCTTCATTACTGATTCAGTTTGCTTGGACGGTCACCACAAAAGTATCAGACATCTGCCTTGCCTAATTAAGAGATAGCACAGTTCTTGGTTTAAATAATTACTTCAGACTTTTAGTGCTGCAGATTTGGTGTACTGCAGCAACAGTCTTCGTGTGAATAATGCAGTTGTTATAGACGGACTGGTAAATTATTCGGAGTGCGAACATGAGATCATACTTTTCAGCTGGAATAAAGCTGCTCTATTGACGGAGTTGGTATTTCTCGTTTTTATGGTGCTTTTGCAGCGTTTAAAATAAGAATATGTTAATAGAATGGAAGCAGGAAGTCAACAGCGACCTTCCTTCACAGCTCTGATGATTTTACCGTTGATGTTGGTGAGGTTTTGCTTTATTCTTCAATAGAATGGTTTGCTTTCCAAGTCACCGCTATATAGGTGTTGTAGAGGGGGACGACATCGTTTTACGGTTACTAAGCTTACTTAAGATATTTCTTGGATATGCTAGAGTAGACTCCTGAGCCTCAATGAGTATGGTACCAATTGAGGTGATATGGTAAGAGAAAATGAATGGGGAGAGAGGCACACATCATGTACGTTAATGGCAGTTTTATTTTATTTACTTGCATGCATCATTTCATGTAATTATTTAGTGCAACAGTCACATCAGACTAACAGTCTTTTTTTTTCTTTTTTTTCTGGAAATGTATCTCTAGGGACGTCATCTCGTTTCGCAAATCCATTAATCATAAGCTTGGCAGTGTGCACAGCTGGCTTTGGAGTTGATGCGTGCGCACGAATCGGCGCGCGCTCTGTGTTGGGGCCTCCGGCGCAGCGGGGTAGCGTCTGCTCCACCAGCCAGGGAGCCACCGGAGCTATGGCTATGTAACGGGCGGCCTGGCGTCCGGAGAAGCAGAATTTTCTTTTACTGAGGTCAAGTGCGCTTCAGAGAATAGGGGGTTTTAGCGCCACGCGTAAGGTAGTAGCGTTATGCACTAAGTCACGTGATGGACCTTGAAGTCATAACGTCTTATCTTAGGCCTAAGGTTCGACCTTATACCTTCATAAATAGTGCACGCCTTTACAGGCCTCTACGGTCACCTTACAAGCGGCGAAATGGCCGCCTAAAAACAGGAAAAGTTGATTTTTTTCAACTCTGGTAAACCGATTCGCGTATGAGAGGCAGTTACAATTATTTCTTACCAACTCCACAACGCTGACAAGAATTAACGGGATATGTTGGAGAGGGGACAGGAAAGAAATTCTCGAAAAAGGAGTTCAAATTATATCTTCGCGATAGGTTATGTCTTACGCTCATAACGAACGCTGTTTTAAGGTATTTACTATACTTTCAAGTAAAGCAGACTGCATACTCATCACGGAGGGCCAGAAAATCTAAAACTCCATGCACAATGTATATTTGTTGTTCTGTTGACTCGTAACGTGTTTTAAATGTCTCACCACTAGCCTACACTCTTTGATATATTATGCAATTTCTCTGTTCAACGCTTGAAATACTTCCTTTGTTATAATGCATAACGCAATGTTGCAATTCTTAAAACTCTTCTGAAAGTTGTTCATTACGACCGTATAAAGGCGTTAGTCACGTGATCAATAGAGTTTAAGGATATATTCTTACACCTGACTTTAAAACTCCCTATTGTGATAGTAACCGTTACGCCCACCACGTCAGTGCCCCGTTTATTCTATGGGATTATTGTGAACTACGCTACGATCTGGACTATCTTCTAGTAACACCGCGATCGGCTAAGGACTTATTTATTTTTATTTACGTCAAAAACAGTTAAAAAACTGTGTGTGACGTGCTATGGGGAGAAGTTAATTTGAAGTTACATTTATTGATACTTTTCTTTCTGGCGAAGTGGTATACCGAAAATTGTTTATTACATGACTTGAATTGTGGCTCTTGTTTGTAACGCTGAAAAAGCACATGCACCGTTATTGTTGAAAAACCGTCTACCTACTTTTTCACACATATCAAGCATCATAAACCGTATAGATTTTTTTTCAGTATTATTTATTTAAAAGTACACAATCGATAATATTTTTATTTATTGACATAGATTTTAACCAAGAAGTAAGTCGTTGTACCTTGGGCCACTTTATAATATTGCATCTTGGACCACCTACAAACTACAAAAAAATTAAAACCATTGAGATTTATAATTAAGTGCATTGTTTCGAGATGATGATCACAGGTGATGAAAATTCGGGCTTGCCAATACCAGAAACGTATCAATTGGTAGTCCTCCTATCATTGGATAACATACCGTATAGCCACTATTCTCTCGTTAGAAACATATCGCATAGCCACAATCAGTTCAAGTCCATTGCAAAGTTGGATAAAGAATGGTGACTGAAACCAGGAAAGTCAAAGCAATTGCCAGACACTCCGGAGAAAAACGAAACTGAAGCACAATTATTCAAGAAAACAAAGTAAAATCTAAATTTAACCAAGAGCATAATCCAAACACAAAGTACTTCTAAGTAAGGTAATAAGATAAAGAGAGTTGAAAAAAATGCCTTGGAAACAGACTCAATTGTTTTATGTAAAGCTTATGTTTCATAGCAAATTTATAAAGGCTTCCAACGAATACCATTCATGAATACCTTCTATATTCCTAATTCCTTGTCCGTGAGACGGCGGGGTTCCGAGGTAAAACTTTTGGTGATCCAAGTTACCCTTGTATCTTGAACCACTTTTCAATTTTTTTACGTCAGACTTTTAAATTGAATTATGAAATGTACAGTTATGCAACAATTGTCATAAGACAAACTTCGTTGGAGTTTCCGCTGAAGCCCAAAAATATCGAAAATTTCATTAAAAAAACATGCCGAAAAAAGTGGCCGAAAATACAAGGATTTCCCCAATTCATAAAGTATTTATGTAATTCTTATTCCTTCTTTCCTTTCTGAGAACTCTTAGTAAAATGATTTGAATAAAGATTTCGAAACACCACAAAAGCAATTATGCAAATTGTTGTGATTACAGAAATGTATTCAGCACGGTTCTCAAATGGGGTTCCACACACTTTGTACCAATTCATTCCAGGTCTCAAAACGTCATTTGATGATAAACATTTAAAATCAAAGTAATCTTCATTGTAATCTGACAAGCACAGGTACTTTCGTTTTTGCAGAACCTGGAACAAAAGACAATAATAAAGATGTTTTGAACATTTGAATTTGATAATGAAGCCTTAATATTATTTGGAATTCTCGTAGGCAATGAATCGGTAGAAATATTGAAGAAAGATAAAATATAATCTCTCAGACTAATGACACTTAGTCACACGCATAATGCATCAGTTCGCGAACTTTTAATTCTTTATTTAAACATTAATTCTCCCGTATTTGTTCTAGGTAAATACATTAACGAAAGCCAAAAAGTGATTATTACAATAAATTAAAATTAGAGATAAATGGAGAATAAACCAATACTTAAAAGGGATTATATTTTATCGAATCTCTCGCGCTTCCTTATTGGCGAGCGTTTATCAAGTTATGGCTGAAAAATTCGTAGAACAGAAGTTGTGTATCAAGAAATCGTTTTAAATAGGTCTAGAAAGTATGTGCTGTTGTAGAATCACTCGTTTATATTGTAAATTTCTTCTTGAAAGGCTGTCCACACAGGTATAATGGTAAAAGTGCTCAGTGATATTATGCGATTTATAAATATGTGGTGGTGTTTCGGAAAAAGTAGTAAACTTACAAATAAATTTGGATTTGGAAAGAGGACGTTGTTGTGAGATGCAAAGCAATTCATTTGCAATCACATGACTCAACGGTAATTGGTATCACAAACAATCGAACATAGTACAGTACTCTAAGATTTACTTCTTTTTTCACTCAACATTTGAGGTCTATTTACAAGTTCAAATGCCAAGTAAAATATTTTCTATACAAATAAGTACAATACATTGAATCACGCTTTAGTGCTTTATTAAAATAGTTTCTAAATCGAAATGACTTTTCAAGTGTGAAAAAGTTGCTTTGAGCCAGTGACTCTATCTCCATACTTTTCGATTACATTGATATATTAAGAAAGTATATTGAGATTGTTGTAATGCATACTAAATCGTTTTCTTCTCATTGAAAATAAATGCTTATTTCAGTAACTTACCGATCCAAATGCAGTTTGGAGAGAAACAGTTTCATTGCATGGGCCAATTGTTTCATGCAGGCCAATAGAAACTTCTTTCTCTGGATTTCCAAATAAAACCATAGATAAGAAGAGACCGTAATGAACCATCAAATGCCCGAACAGAGGTAATCTCCATTTACTTCCAGGATCTGTAAATAATGCAATTTGCTTACATTTATTTTACATCATCACTCATTACATTCCTAAATAATGTATTTTAAACTAAGAACACGCATTCAAACCATTTATATATAATTTTAAACGCGTGTAACTTAAAACATTTTTTTAATTTACTTGAAAAAAATTCTTGAATAACTGCATGTTTGAGTGGGTTTAGAATTTTTTATCCGGGCCCTGGAAAAACCTTAGCTAAGCTACCGCTAACATAACAGAGTTGATTTTCAGCAACAGAGGTCATTATTCTAGACATTAAACAAAAACACGGAGCGCGAACACTAAATCTGGATAATAACGAGGTAAAAATTCTTAATGCCTTCCGTTATCCATCCATTTATGGAAGATATTGGTAAATGTAGCAATGGGAATCATGCAAATCTTTATCTAGACACGGACAGGAACGCATAGGAGGACGTGATAATAGTGAACTCCATAGCGAGTTCCCAAACGGACGAAAATATGTAATAAACAAGCATTATCCTTAATGATTTAAAAATATTACAGAATACGTATAAATTACACTAAAGTACGTTATATACCTTCTTTCGGTACGTTGGTCTTTGGACGTCTGTCAGCTGTCCAGATAATAAGAAGAAACATTGCAAATAATATCATGAATGTTACTTCTGAGTGTATATGATAAATATCGTGAAGAGGATGATACAGTGGTAAGAAAAGTAACACGCCACCAGGCATTCCCAATAGAGCCGTTAGAACTGCACATGCCATTTGCTTGCAGAACCTGAAAAAAAAGTGGAGCGACAATATTATTACATATCATGTGGTAAAACGCTTGCCACGTATGCACTTGTCCAAAGAAGACAGTATGAAATTCTAAGAACATTACCCTTATTATTTATATTTATTTTCTCTATTCAATAGTATGACTTGCGTGGCTATGTAGTATTTATCGGCTAGGAAGGACATTGATTATAAACCAATTATACTGCAAACTTCATTACGTCGAAACGATGGCTCTTAGAGCAATAAAGTTTATATTTTCTAAGAAGGGCAAGTGGGGGCTAGCGAAGGATTGCATATTCTGAAATTTTTAAAAGTCCCCGGTTACCGGGTCCAGCAATACAAAAATTAAACGTAGGTTCATCTAGAAATTACTTTGATAAAAATACTTCTCGATAAAAGTACTAGCTTTCCGAAAAAAAGTATTGTGATAGGAAGAATTCAGCCCAAGTCATGAACTGTTTCTCACGCTATAACGCCTTTTTGATACTCGATATAAACTCTGCGAAAATTCAAAAACGTGAACTGCGCTCCTAAAAATTAATTGTTAAGGAATCCTATTTTAAATTGGGTTTTTAAATATAATCCTCAAATAAAATCAAGTGAAACGAAATAATTGCGATTAAACAAAAAACAGGTTATCATTTCAAATGTTATAACTCCTGTATGGAGGTATCGTTAAAGAGCACAATGATGTTTGTGCAAGGAAAGTTTAAAAATAAGTTGAAAATAATTTCCAAGGAATTTAGAAGAAAATGTTGTAGTTAAGTAAATTTTAATTACAGATCATTTTCCGTTGAAAATATATAGAAAGATCTTAGTTGCCTTAAATTCATTCTTGCCAACATTCAACATTGACGGTCCTTGGTGGTGGGCTGAGGCAGCGAATATTTTTACTTTCTAACGTTCAATAGTGAAAGTATTCTAGACATTATAAATTACACCCATAATGACCCATGATATTTCTACCAAGAGGGCAAATCCCAATATACTAACGCGAATATAACTTCATAACATTACTTTCACCATCTGAAAACTTTAAATATCGCCAACACTAAAGACTATTCACACACGATTCAAGATGTGAATTAATTCATGTACCAAGAATTTGGGATTTTAAAAAACTTCGTTACGCTAATAATATGAAAAAATACGAGTGATTAAAAGAAAATGATGCTCTTTACTTCTTACAGTGTCACTTAAAACGAAAATAATTTATTAATTCATATTTCAATAGTTTAATTATTGTACATGTGTAATAATATTAAGATATCAAAAGAAATCCCCAAAACATGTGAATTTATGAAAATCTTGGAAAAACTAGTATTATATAAAATGTTTCATCAGCAAGCCCTACATTATTTGATATTTTTCTGTGATTCCATCATTGATGACAAAATCACTCATAATGCCCGATCCCTCCAAATGCCCGATCCCTAGCATATACTTCACTTGTTCGTCCAATTTTAGAATACGGAGAGGCATGCTGGGACCCGCACAGAAAAGGGAAAATCGAAGCGTTAGATAAAATTCAAAAACGGGCCTCAAAGTTTGTAAATCACGAGTGCGTTGGTGACGAACGAGAAGAATGGGAGTCCTTATCAAAGAGAAGGGAACGGGCGCGTTTATGCGTAATGTATAAGACATACAGAGGGGACACAGCATGGGCAGATATCGGTAAAAGATTACAGAAATCAGATTATAAAAGCAGAGGAGACCATCCTTGGAAAATACGATGTAGAGAGCAAAGAACTGACGTAGGCAAGTTCTCCTTTGTGAATCGCACTATAGTAGATTGGAATAAACTACCTACAGAAGCACTAGAGGCTCTTCCTTCTAATGTAGCCAAATTTAAATATATACTTCATTCCATCTAGATCATCTCCAATAATACTGACTGAGACATTTATCTTTATTATTATTATTTATATTATTATTATTACTTTTATTATTATTATTGTCATAATTATTATCGTCATGGCCCTTATACAGTGAAGTGATGTGAAGTGTAGTGTAGTGGGGGGAAGGGAGTGTAGGGTAGTGAAGGGGAGTGCAGTGTAGTGTAGTGTTGTGTAGTGTAGTGAAGTGAAGTGTTATGTAAACTAGAAGTGAATTTAGAGTTAGCTAGAAATAAATTGGAACTATTATATCGAGCCCCTAATTCTAATAGTAAACCCAATTATAAATGTTGAAAATGTTTAGTATTTCTAATTTTAATTGTTATCATGTTTGCCACCGAGCATTAGCTCAAAGCGAACTTAATAAATGTATCTATCTATCTAAAAAAATACAAAACATCTGTAGAACCAGGTTAAAAGTTTAGCACCAAATTCAATAGTTATAAGAGGCCTACACATGCTCAGGATACAGAACAGTTTTTCCGGTTCGTTTTCGCTGGTCTCATGTTGAACCGTAAATCGAAGACTCCCACAGATGACCAATTTGTTTCCTCCGATTTTACCGCTTCCTCTTTCCTTTCGTTTCGGTCGCTTCCTGCCCTGTAGAGGGACTGCACTCGGACAAAGCTGCGTGGACACCGCTTCGAGAAAGAGGGACCACGACTACTCATGAAAATCAGAAGTCGATCAAACCTCTGGTGTTTACGACGCTGAGTAAAACGGAACGGACCAAACTTTCACTTCTTGATTTTGACTGCCCCATAGATTCTTTTAAAGGGTTTATATAAAATTATAAAAATATCATTTATATCTAGAAGTTTAATGATTTTACAAAAATATTTCAGGGTCTCAACAATCCCAGGGACGGATCCAACAGGAGGGAGAATCTTGTTGAGGGAGATCATTGGACCTTGTCAAAATACGCTTTCCTTTCGTTATTAGTAACAAAACAAGTGATTTTGATTTTTATTTTTCTCTGAACTCCGACTGCGTATTTTCTTAGATCACTGGAGAATGAGGTGGTATTGATGAGGATGGGCAACTTCTTCATCGCACGGCCTCGAGATGAGAGCGAAGACGCACGCGTACCGGACTGTTGTATCCAAGTTGGCCATCGGGTTCAAACCCGATCCAAGACGTGGATTTTTAAAGGGCGAAAAAATCCTTCGTACGTCTTCCTTCGGAGAGAAAGTAAAGCCGGCTGTCCCATGTTCGTAATTTACTTGAATGTAAAAGATCCTCAAGCCTAAATGATGCCTCTAAGCTAAATTCAAATTGCCTGTTTCTCGTCCAAGATATACCTCCTTTCTCCGCTAGTTGGTGAAAGGAGCGTAGCGAAATTTGCGTGATCAGACGGAAGAGCAGGCCTCATGGCCTGAGTCTCGCCACGTAAAGTAAGGCATAAGGCATTAAGACATAGCGAGGAAGGGAGGCAGGACTCCTCGCATGTTGCGGCCGATTGCGCGAGGGAACGAAGCAAGTCGTCCATCACAGCAGCTCACCTGCGAACGCGAGGGCGAACGTTCATTCGCACCCACTCATACGTGACTCATGCAGCTGTTCACTCATCCCAGTTTGGGGGTACAAAATTGCGTATCTCCTCTTCATCAGCTCACATCTTTACTATCCGTGGAACAGCTCCGGACTTTTATTCCTCGTAATATGTGCGCAGTTACAGCTCAACAGAATCTTAACCATGGATTTTTATGACCGAAATCATATTGTTGAGGTGATTCCTATACCTCACCTACCTATATTATAGTATCGGCAGAAACAGTAAAAAAAGTATATAAAGTAGTGGAACACCTAACGCACATCTTTTTTCCCATTGTTCGTAACGGTTTCTTAATGTTGTAGTGTACTCCAAAAGGATAGCGCTATAAAGTAATGCTGTTTTTCATTGCAGCATTACATATCTTTCCCTACACAACATAATATTGATCGAGATAGTAAAAGTAAGGTAGTATACTTTTACATATAACATACATTGTATCACAACATAGTGGTAACTTATGCAACCTAAATATTTCTTCAGAACAAACTCAATAATTTATTTATGTCTATTAATATGTAATTAATATTTTTCACTCAAGAATTAAGAAAATAATATAGTAATTTATGTTTATAATAACTTTTTTTTTGAAAATATGAATATTGCTATGTAAATAAGTTACCAAATATAACTGCTATTAAGGTTTAGTAATGTTGTTCATAGTGTTTTCAAAAATATCTCTATTTTTCACATAATTTTGAGTGAAATAGTCTCGATTTAAAAAATACGTAAACAAGATTTTTCAAAATCAACAATAAATTGATTTTTTTTTAAATTTTCCTCAAATAGTTTAATGACAGCTAAATTATATGGTAACGTTCAGTTTTTAATCACATCATTGGTATTTCAAAATTGCAAAAATTAAACTTTTATGTCATTATTTTTTATCTCTGTGATGCAGGAGTATCATAAAGCTGTCGGTGGTGTAATATGTAAAACAATTGGTTTCTTGAATATCAGCCGTGGCAAATAATGTTTGCGGGCAGAAACCTCTTTTTGGGTTAATTATATAACTATTATAATAATTCGTATCCTTTATAAATAAAGCGAGAAAATATGTCCTGTATATTGTTTTTTGATCATGTATAAACTTGGTACTTTTGCGCTGCTCAATTTCAGTCTGACTAGCTCAAAACTTGGCAAATGTAGTTTTCTCTAGATGTAAATTTAAAATATCACTACCCCTGAAACCCGACAATCGAAGGCCCCTACCACCTACGATATTGTAACGTGCTACAAAATAATAATAATAATAATAATAATAATAATAATAATAATAATAATAATAATAATAATAACTCCTGAAATTACATCGGGTCAATTCACGGCATGAAAACACTGTTTTAGACAAAAGATGCAAACTACATATACTCCTTTGAATAAATACATCTTCAATACTTTACCCATTTTCTTGAGGAGTGCCAATGGACTTTTGCGAAATCCGACGGTTCCAGAAATGAAACCAGAATGTGAAGCTGGCTGCAAAACTTGCGTGAAAATAGTACGAATTCCACGGCACCCAATAGTGTCGGTCTTCTATGTTTGGGTCAGTGTCATGCCACGTCCAGTGAACGAATTTTACAGATACAATGTCGTACGGAATGTCCACCAAAACCACAAGAAGTCCCACTGAAAAAGAATTGTAGGGCATGATAAAACTATAAATACCAAATGAATATTTAAAATAGAATGTTTTCACAATTGTAAGATATAATTTTTTTCAGAAAAGTTGAATAGTTGATACGCAACCTAAAAATTGTAAGACACAGAACATTTCGAGGGCCACTGTTCTAAAGTACCTAAAATCCATAGATAGCATTATGATAACATGATGTGACGCAGGTTCAATTTTTACGTTCACTTGATTGATACCATTGAAATAAATAGCGAAGTAATCATTCTCCATTTTATAGCATCAAGATTTCCAACTCTGGTTTACTATTCTGAAAAAAGAATCCGTGACTTTCTTGTTCGAAAACTTCGAAATATAGACAACAAAACAGAACCAAGAATCAATCACATGGATTACAAGCTCATTTACTCCCTGTGAACTGTTTGCTAATTTTATTCACGAAGGTTACGAACGAAAATGTATCAAATTAATTTCAGTATACAGTCACTCAATAAAATACCAATTTCGCTTACACACTCCGCAATTCCCTCATTCAACAGTCCCACTAGTTGGCTAGATTCTTCATGACGTTTCTAGAAAATTCTTTCGCAAGCAATAGCAATAATAGTAATGTATAACTTTAATTCAATTTTCGGTTGACATGTTATTATTGCAGATTTTTTTAACTTGGGAATACATAAAAAAGTAAATTCCGTCGCTATTGTGGGCGGGCGGGGGATCTTATTCAGGTTCTTTGCCTTACGGGGCCGCTAGCATCCGCGCGTCAACTGATGTAAATGTTCCTTGGACCGGGATGTCCTAGGGTTCGAGTCCGCCGTAGCAGGATTTCGACACTAGCATCGTGTAGATGGGTCGAATTCAGCCGCTGACTGGAGGAGAAGTCTAGCGGCCGGCTGTTCTGATTGCGAGTTTTCCGTGATTTCTTCGATCAACACCAGGTGAATGCCAGACCAGTGCCCTAACAAACGGGCCACGAGTTTTCCTTTCTCTTTCTTGTCCTATCTTCACCCCTTACTTACACTCACACTACCCTACTACCCGGGACCAGTTACGGGACTCAATTACGGGACTAATGTTATTAGCGGTTGATGCGCCCGAAATCACTAATGAATCAACCAATGAATCGGGGAGCGGGCGCACCCGCCGTGCAACTGCTCCCCACGCGACTGGAGGAAAGAGGGCGAGAGCGGCCCCGCGCGAGCAGGCGTTGGCCTCATTCGTCTCAACGCGCCATCTCGCTGTAGAAAGGGCCATTCCTTCACATGATTGGTTGATTAGAGATTTCGGGCGCCTCAACTGCAATGATCATTAGTCCCGTGAGTGTGGTTAACGTTGTTTATTGCGGGAGGTAGCTGGGATCCTTTCCAGCTGGACCCCGATTTCCGACGACGACTTACACATTGCCTTGTAATGTTTTCCCCAACCAGGTATCTCCCATCAGAGGGGTGCACCGACCCAGCCGGGACTATCTCTAAGCTCCCGATCGGTCTACCGGAATGGGTGTAATTTAGTGTAGTGTACGTAAGTGTAAGTGTGAGGAGTGAGGGTGAGACAAAGAAGAAGAAGGGGAGATCGTGGCGAACCGTGGCACGTTTCCTAGTCTCTCCTCAGGCATTCGCCTGGTGTTGATCGGGGAAACCACGGAAAACTACCAATGAGAGCAGTCGGCCGCTATACTTCTCCTCCAGACAGCGGTTGAATGTATACGAGTAGCTAGTCTTGTGTAGTAAGTGCCTAAGTAGCTAATCAGAGGCACTGCAGTGACATCACCTGATGACCTGAGCCACCTAAGCCGGTACTGTTTTCGGAACAAGTGTCTCGTCAATACCTGTGGGTATCGGGTACTGACACCACGAAAGGTCTTTGGTGGGACTCTTGGTTAAGAGCCCAACTAAGGGCCACCCGGACTGTTACACTCGGGAGGCACGGACCCCCAACCCGCCTCCTCACTGCTAACACCTTTACTATGTGAGAAGGCCACTACAGAAGGTTTCTTGGAGGAGACTTTCTTAAACGTGCTACCGTATGCAATTGAAAAAGTTGCAATTGAACGAAACGGACAAATCACATAATTCAGGAGAAAATCAGTACGTTTTAAGAACTTACCTGCAAATGGTTCAGCATAAGTGCTAAGTTTCATTCTTGAAACAGCAACTGACGCATGGTATAAAAATACTGGATCTGAAAAATAAAGAATTATTTATTTCATAACCGTTTCATTACTTTCCCGAACGCTTGTTAGATACTATAGAGAAAGTAATCATTAAACACAAGTATTCTTTGGGTTTTTGACAATGTGACAATGTTTTTCGTGAAAAAAGTCTTTATTTTACATACACTACGCTTCGAGTTTCTCTTCAGGCATTTCAATTAATAAAAATAATAGACATGTTTAATCTGAAAATTAAAAAAAATGGCAAACAAAATTTTGAAGATAATAAATAAAGTATAAAAACCTACAATAATTACAAAGAAAGCAGATGAAAATCATTAAGAAATTCAACCATTAGATGTAGTTCCACATAAACCACTTATTGAGAAACTTTTGATGTCGGGAATAGATACTCGTGTAGTAGAATGGATTAAAGAGTTCTTTCGCGACGGGAAACAGAATAGGACAACAGTTTTTAGAATATCAGCGATATTACGACAGCGGTTTCATAAAGGGCCTCTCCGTTTCATACCATTTGTTAATTATCCCCCAAATAAGTATGTTCGAAAGTACAATATTTGCAGATGATTGAGCTATACCGAGTAATTAGTCAAAGGACGATGGAAATATTTTGCAACCCGACTTAAAAACACCGGAGAAAAAGGGCTGAAATAAAGGGTATAGAAATTAACGAATCAAAAAGTAAAGCATCTACATTTGGCCGGGGCCGTAATTACTCTGTAACTAATTACTACTTGCGTAACAACTTCATTCCGCCGAGTATTTTCGTGAAAGAAGTTGCTGTTGGAAGACTCTCGAGTGATAATTGAAAAAAAATGCGTTAAATAGTAATACTGATTGTCCAAAATATGAATTGTAGTCTTCAAGAGTTTTTCAAAGAATACTATTGAATATTATATAGTTTTAGCTTTAAGTTGACCAAATTACTTCAATACATTTAGCGGGTGTAGATGATATTATCAAAAAAATGATAATTCACATTAATTCAACGTTGTTGCATAAGAATAAGCACACAGTTCGTGTTGATAGTAAGGAAATTAACATTACAATTATTTTATTTCGAAGCAATTCTTTGTAACTACTAAATACCACACACTTCGTTCTATACTTACACAGTGCTATGATATGAATAGGTAGCCTGCGTCCCATAAGCACTACAGGTGTTTGTGAATGCCAGAAGTTATCGATGTCTTCTAGATTATATGAAGCTGCTTCTACAACTAGCCCATGAAGAACTGTAGCGATCCATAAATAGGGAAGACGGCCTCCATTTTTTAGAGCTGAAATAAATGAATGTCATTAGACGTTTATAGCTTTTATTAGCTGATATGAGCAAAACATAATATATTGGGAAAATATAATATAGGTTAATGTTTTTGAGTTTATTGCAATAAAAAATTAAAGAAGCTGACTATCCCAAAATTGAAAATAACAATAAAGACAGGATTACAGAAGAGCAGTTTTGTTGCTACTCAATAATTACTATTACTAAAGAGAACATTAATGATTGTAAGTGTTAAAATCTAAAATAATTTTTCTGATGTTTCGATCTTTGCTTGGGGTCCTTTTCAAAAAACTACACAAAAAAGAAACTGAGAGTTACATAATCGCTAGAAACAAAATTAAAAAATAAAATTTAATAAACCAACAATAATAACAAGATTATGTCACACCTGGGTTCAGGAGTGTAAAAAACACTTTAGTTTCAAAACTGTTGAAAATTTAGGCTTTGTTGGAAATAGACAACAAGAAAATCCACGAATGATAAGCTCAATTTTTTTGTTAGAAGTTAGCCAGTGTTATGAATAGAGAAAGGATTTCCATGCAAGTGCATTTTTTTATTTACGCCTTGTAGAGCGTTCAAACTTTGCAAATATATTTTTCATGGTATACTCATTTCAAAAATGCATTCTTTTTCCGTGCATGTTTGCATGTTTTGGTAGTTTTGAAAAGGAAATTCATGAATAATGCATGTTTGGACATTTTTTAAATTAAATCAGTATACAGTATTCGAGTAAAACACTTGTGTGCGTATGTGCAGATGTGCGAGTGTGTGCCATTCTGTCACTCGCGGCTAGACCACTTCCCGTGCACCAATCGAGTCGCACGATATGTCATTCGGCGCGTCTTGGTCTCGTGATGGGGAACTGGCAATTTGTTTTTGGATCCGGCCATAAGATTCAAAGAAATTTCCAAACACGTGTTTTGGCACTGCGATCTTAGCGGGAAAAAGGAGAATTAAAACATTACCACGTAATAGATCGATGTAGGTGTCATTCATTAGTCCCCAACCTAAAGTCGGTGACATTCATCAGTCCTAAAACCCCATATAGTATATTACGATGCATGCCAGGCCGCGTTTTAGGCCTGGCATGCACCGTAATATGCCACTTAAAGGCATATTGCAATGAAATATCGCAAAGGATCATTGCCTGGCATTATATCGCAATATACCAGCTAAAAATATTTCCTGTCGGAATAGCCAACTTATGAAACTAATCATTCCGATCAACTGTTGCTTTTCTTTTGTTTGTTGACACTGCTCGCGCGATTTAAGACTTCACAGTACAATCATGTATTTCTGATTTATAGTTAAAATTAAACAAGATTTTTAGGTATAAACGAATATTAGCTCTGGGATCAATTAACCTAAATGAGTTATCATTATCGACAAGAGCGAGCGTGAGAGGTGTTGCGTCAAGAGCAAATGAAAAACACAAATTTAAAAATCATCTGTGGTTCGACTTCTGTGTTAATAATACTTTTGAGATAATAGTATTATAAATTTATTCAGGGTTTCATCTATTAATAATTATTCATTATATATGTTAATTTTTATGTGACGTAACTGTTTCTAACAGTTCAGTAGAATTAATATTAATGCAAATGCCACAATTGTATTTAGCTGTTTAATTATTAATTATATTTCAAAAGTAAGTAATTGTTTGAAAATAAGAAATTCATAATTAATATGAGTAGTCTTCAGTACCTTGCCTGTTCTTATCAGTGACATACCTTCTCTTTACACCTATTTCTTCTACATTAAAATGGGGGGGGGTGATACATGTCATAGGGTACTTATGGTAATAAGTATTACTTTTTAAACGTATTTTTTGGGAAAATGAATTTACATTGCCAATATAGATGACACAGTAAATACATATAATTGCACAACGATATTGCACTACAATACTATAAACGACTCCCTGATCATGCAGTAATTTCACAGTAAACCTCATTAACTTGCTAAATAATTCAAATGAGAATGATCATACTTCAGTTTCCATTTAAAATGGATGACAAATTATTCTCAATAGGCCTTCAAGAAGTACAAGATTAATATTTTTGACTATCTTCAGATTGTCATTAAGATTTTATTAGATTTTTTGTCCAAATTTTGTTTTCGACAGTCATATACATATAAACATAATACGCATTAAAAACAAAAGAATAACCGAAACACCTTACGAAAAGTCGAAGAACACGGAACAAAGAACGGGAGCTCGCCCACCCCACTTCTACCACCCGACCAACAACAAACATGGATGACGAAGGACGCGGAACTGAAACAGATTCTCAAGACGATAGACTGCAACAAATCGCCTGGACCCGATGGAGTCCTCCCATCTAAACTTACCCACCTAACAAAGAATGCAATAGACCCGATCACTCTCCTCCTCAACTCCTGCCTAAGACTGTCCTACTTCCCCACCACCTGGGAGATCGCTCGTTTAACCACCGTCCCATCAGCCTACTAGCCATCCTTGGTAAAACATTCGAAAAGATACTTCTTCTCCGACTAACACCTCTCCTCGATCCCATCATAACCTCCACACAATTTGGTTTCCGTAAAGGTCGCTCGGCGGTCCTCCAAACCTTAAACCTATCCCTAGCCATAGCCATCCCACTGCAAAATAGAAAAGAAATCCTTGCCACTTTCACAGACCTCACCCAAGCGTACGACACCGTCTCCCATCCAATCCTTCTCATGAAAATCCGTCCCTATATCCCCGATCATATTCACACCCTACAACAAAGCTATTTAAATCATCGCTCCTTCCACATACGACATCTATCAAAAACCTCTTCCAATTACCCAATCCAAGCCGGGGTCCCACAGGGCGCTGTGCTTTCCCCAATCCTTTTTTCCATTTCTATGAATGACGTTCTACCAACACATTTCATTTCTTGATGACCTGGCCTTCCTAGCTTCCTTCCGCTCCCTAAACCGATCTTTATCCTACCTTCACAAATCCCGAAACAACTTCCAACTCTGGGCTTTCCAAAAATCCATTATCATAAATCCATCCAAATCCCAAGACATCCTGTTCTATAAAACATACCTATCCAACCCCCCTCCCATAACCATTGGAAATAAACCAATCCCATGGACACTAGAAATATTATACCTCAGCATAACCTTCTCCCGCAGACTCCTTTGGTCCCATCACATCCACAAAATTACCGTCAAAGCAACCAGGATCACCAATACCGCACCAAACTAACTCCCGTCTAAAACCACAACATCCGCCTCATCTTCCGCCCACCCATGTACACCATTTACAACTCCATACGATAGCAACACAAAATACCCCACATCCTCACACACCTCCGCTATAGCCCAAATCCAAAATGTATCAACTTCTCCCTATTCCGAAATCTAATCCTTCCTCACCACCACATCCTCAGAAACCCACCCCGACACACCCGGAAAACACATCCCTTAGATATCCTCCAACTCCACCCTCCATTCACCTAAGCCTGAGGGCAAAAACACAAAACAAATTAAACCGACAACGAATTGATAGAATGACTGACACGCTGTACATGTCCTAACAAAAACCCACTGGTTCGAAGAGACCCCGCAAGGGACCAGGCGAACACAATTGAACATCAAATAAGACGCTTCTTGCGTACGTGACTGACGTGCTCTGGCTGTGCTCCAATATTTGTCTTAATTTTTATTACTTTTCTACTTCTTTCAGGTACTTTTTGTTGTTAAATTGATTTCTTTACGTGTTTACATGATGCAGAGAAGCTGAAGAGAGATTATATTGTCCCAGCAGTGAAAAAGAAATAATACAGATATTGGTTTAAAAATTGAGTAATGAACAAACTTGTATTTGATCAAGTTTAAAGACTTCCAATACCTATGTACTCTATAAAGTAATTTAGCTTTACATAAAGTTTTAAACTATTTGTGAAAGTGTAGTGATAATCGTGAAAAACACCAGAATTCAAATTCCGATTAATCCACAATCACCACTACCAATGACGACTGATAACATATTTTCTGCTTTAGATTATGACAATGACTTTCCGTGCCTTCCCAATCCTCTTCCAGCATCGACACATCCACACACAAAACCAACGCAAACAGGCTAGCAAGCGCAAAGGAACAAAGACACGTAGACACATGGCCCACAAGTAAACAAGGACATTCCCCCTGAGCCCACAAAAAGGTACTGATTTTAGCAGATAGCCATCGGCGACATCTCCCTGCTCAGTGGGAAACTCCCATCCAATTTCTCAGTCACGGGTGTGTTTAAAACTAACGGGAGGTTTGACGACGTGACTAGTGTCAATGTGCTTGAATGTCAGATAAAGATTCCCGAAAACAACAGTTTTCCGTCAAAATTAGCTCATATTTCCGCATTTTCAGAAACGCCATTTTCTCAAAAACGACTCAAACTTTTCCAACAGATAGTCTAATTGAACTATTTAAGATGACACAGAATTAATTTTGCTGTATTCTTTTGTTTTTTAAAAATTACACAAATGTATTTTTTTAAATCTCTCACGCCTTTAATATGCATATTTCCAGCGATTTGTTAACACTAATGCATTTGTGATTAAAAGTGCTTGAAATGCCGTCATATGAAGTTTTCGAACACGTAATAGTTTTATGTGAAAAGAGGTTCAAATTTCGAATTTACAGTAGCGCCCTAATGCAATTTTCTTAAAAACGGCTCCCCATTTTTAAAAGAAAATGAAAATTAGAACGAGGTTTTATTGTTCTTTAATATTTTTACAATAATATTTCCGTTCTACAACTAGAAAGCTGAAAAAATTGGCAGTGGCGGCGGCGATGGTATAACTGTGAACCCATGTTTTACCCAAGTTCAAACCCAATCGAAGACGTGGATTTTTAAGGGCGAAAAAAGCCTTCCTTGGATGGGAAGTAAAGTCGGCTGTCCCATGTTAGTATATTTACTTGCAAGTAAAAGATCCTCAAGCCTAAATGACGCCTCTGAGTTAAATTCCAATCGCCTGTTTCGTCGCCCTTAAGTAATACCTCCTTTCTCCGCTAGTGGGTGAAAGGAGAGTAGCGAAATTTGCGTGGTCAGACGAAAGAGCGGGCCTGATGGCCCGAGTCTCACCCCATAAAATATGGCATCATTTCAATTCAAAGATAATACAACTCTTACAAACAACTGTTTTGAAACAGTTGGGATTCTAAATCCGTTTTCTGGGGTGAGTAGACCATGTCTATTTTACTATTTAATTTTAAGACTAAATGGATAATTTTTCAAGTACTACGCCCGAGGATTAAAATGCCAGACATCTGTTCTTCTCAGTAGTTTCAGTAGAAGTTTATTAGAATAGTACAAGTGTTCTACATATGGAAATAATTTTAAAACAGTTTAAGCGTCGGCGATGCCACATTCTGCTAGAACTGCATATTTTGACATTAATCTAGCACATTAGACACTTTTTAAAAACTATTTTTGCACAATTAGTGAACATTAAAATTTACACATATTTTGTATAAGTAGCATATCATTCTTAGATCCTGACAGTACAAAGTTGCCTTTGATTATTATTATACTAGAAATTTTAACCCTCCGGTACACGTGCCATGATTTGGGAAGTGGGAACATGCCTAAGAGCCACAATCGCGAAATTAATCAATATCAATGGATTAAGTAAAAAAGATAATGAAGATACAGGTAGCCTTAACTCAATATCCTTTGAAAACTAACAATGGGAGACAAAATAATTTAAGATTATTTTGAATAGAAGATTATTTATAAAAATATTTTTCATTGCCGATAATGAACACGCCATACCTTTGCCGCACTTCTAAGAAGCCACCATATTCAAATATGTCAAATGTCTTAGTAGGGCATGTACGTACGTATAATAGGTACAAGTCCTGCTTTTCTTGGTTTGGGGGTTTTGTTCATGTGTCTTACACAAAACATCTTTCATGCTTGATAATAACAAATGTTCAAAACATCGGGTCCAATTTGAATACGTTCGAATTCACTCGCGACGGTGATGCTTCTGATCGTCCGTCAGTAGCTTGGGAACAAGCTGCCACACACCTTCCTCATTCCAATTAAACGATCACCAGTTTGTGGACGGGAATGTTGGGAGTTTCAATTATCAGGACTCTCCACAGACAATCAGAATTTAACTTATCGCGCATACAGGCTACGTCGTCGGTTGTGCTGGTTGAAGGCCGTCCAGCGCGGGGTTCGTCGCCCCCTCTTCTCGGCCTTCCTTAAGCGCTTTCAACCACCTCGAAACTTTAAGATTATGATAGAGCATTGACCCCATAAAATTTAACACTTGTTGGGAATCCGCACGAGATTTGTTGAAATTCGTTCAAAACTTTGCAGCGTAACGTTGCTCGAGTGACGATACCATCGCGTTTCGTGGCACAGGCTCTAAACAGGGGTACGCGGAAACAGCAATCCTGACGCCCCAATTGCTTGAGGAAGACTGGCAAGGGCATCGCTTTGAAGCTGAGAGTCCCTTCCACCTAACACAACTGATGGGAACACACTGAGGCCACTTTAAGGAACCGCACAAATAAAATTGCATTTCTTTCTAGACACACGTACTCATAGCAGCAATATTCCACTCAATGTGCAAGTTATTTAACTGGCTCTGATTGCATTGCGTCTACAGGAAAACAATCATACATTCAAATAATTTTCATTACTTTCCAATACATTTCTTTAAATAATCTGATTCATTAGAATTTAAAATAACTGTAGTTGAACGGCTTTTTGTGCTGTGACCTTTTCGTTTCCTTAAAATTGACGTCCAACTGCAATGAACATAACACAAGCGTTTCTCTATAACACGTAAATAACTTACCGTGGCAGAGAGTAATAAAGGCTCCTACTAAAAATGATATCTGTGCGAGTATGTAGGTTGGTTGCAACTCCCAGAGCGTAACAGGATTATTCAACTTTATAAACCAATCTGAAAACTGAACAACAAATAATAATAATAATAATAATAATAATAATAATAATAATAATAAAAATAAAAATAATAATAATAATACGAACAAAAAATTAAAAATATTTTTGTTACAAATATATGCCATGAAAGGTAGTAAGAACGTGTTTAGTAGGCATAATAAATTAGAATAAGCATTTTTTTTATATGGAAGTCTCATTTTCAACTTGCTATCAAGTTAAATCCTTAATAACAGTGGGATGAGATTAAAATCGTCACTTATGAGTTTTAATTAATATTGTTACGAATGTTACCTAAAAATCACTCGGTATCGCATTTCACCGAGCTTTGCGTCCGGGCGTAAGGTTAAATGTGAATCGCGCCAGAAGGTTCCTGTTAAGATCAGTAAGTCCGAAAAGCAAACAAACAAAAAAAAAAACACAATTCGTTACCTGATATCTAGGAAGACATTCTCCCAATTATAGCACACATAAAAACGAAAGTGTCCATCAGTTAACTGATTGCAATAATGGTTACGAATATCGAGTCGCGGGTTTCTGGAGCTGATTGTTGATACAAGTGATTTTCGTGTTCTGTAGTTTTATTAACAATAATATTCAATAAGAAGTTGGTTTTCTGAATCTGAACTACAAAGGTCTTATTAGTATTTCCCGCTCACGACAACGAGATATAATATGCGTTAATTGCTTTTACTTTCTCGCACTTACTTCGTAAGACATAATGTTATCATAGAAGTTGTATAGAAATGTATTCATGCGTCGAAAAACGACGAATTTTCGGCAGAAAAACTTATTGCTGGGCCTTGCTACAAAAAAAGGTGGATAAATACCGTTGTTTTATGTAGTAAATTACTTCCTCTAACACGAGATGTAGCTAGAATCCATGTTTTGTGGGTCGAAAAATCGATTGACGGCAAAATGTCTGCCTGTGATCAACGCTACCGCCTAAACCGTTCAGCCGATTTTTTCCAAAATTCATATTTCCAGATGGATTTGAAAGAACTCGAGGCTTCGGGAGTTTCAAACGTATATTTTGATTTTTGAGGGTACTTTACATGAAGCCTGAAAAACATTTTCAAAATTTTCTCAAAAATAGCACCAACCTTTTGATTAAACTTTGTCCTAGGATATCATAAAGCATGCAATTAATCCAACATCGTAAATTAAAATCATACCATTCACAATTTTAAGAAAAATAAATTATACTCAATCAACCTAAAATATTTTGCAACCGAACATATCTTGGAAGGCGTCCTCTCCTTAAAATTGTAAAAACATGAGCAACCAGCCAAATTGTTTAATACCTCCACCCAATAACAATAAACTTGTTTTAATTAATCCAACATCATAAATTAAAATCATCTCATTCACAATTTCAAGAAAAATAAATTTAACCCAATCAACCTCAAATATTTGGTGCATATGTCATATTTGAAATCCTATATTTTTTGAAAATTGTAAAAGTATAATTTTTTTGAGACGTCTTCCTACAACTATAATATATAGACATTTCTTTTTTCGTAAATTAAATGTTCCTTAAAAACAAATATTAAAATAAGGTTATGTTACAAGTTTTTGAAAATTTGAGTTTTTTTCGTGTAATTCAGCCCAAAATATAGGCAATTTAAAAATGTTTTAAACAGTTTTTTCTCAGAAACAGGCACCAACTTTTTCTTCATATTTTCTTCACATATATATTAAGGAGTGGTAAAAAAGATGGTGCTAGTCAGATTTCCGGCGAACCCTCCGTTTTTCGAAAATTGCAAAAAGTTATTTCAGAATTAGAATAATCAAATATTTTTGCTTTAGACAAAGTCTTATGAAACAGCTCTTTAAAAAGGTCACAATTTAAAAAAACTAACAGATTTTTCGTAATTTGTATTTGAAATGTATATAAAAAAATGTCAAAAACCGCTCCAAATTTTTCCTTGGTACTTTTCCCATGGATAGATGAAAAAATGCCAAAAAGAATGGTTAGGGTCTCATTCTCATTGAAGTCTCTGACTTTTCGAAAACAGCAAATTTAGAAATAATGCGAGAAAGTATGTGTTGTTGTAGCACTACTAGTTTTACTACTTTTCCCTCCCTTTCTTTCTGATTTTCATATTGGATCTTTGGACATCATAGCGTCTTGGAATTTGGATGTGGATTGTGATCAATAGAATTTACGGCACTACCCACTGAGAGGGTTCGGGTTCGGCCGCTCCTTACTTAATCCGGGCCAGAAGGAAAGAATTCTTTAAATTTTCGCGGTTTTTACATGAAGCTCATGGGGCATTTTCAAACTTTTCTGAAAAATTGCTCCAATTTGTGTATTTAAATTTCTTAAAAGTATAAAGTAAAATACACATATAAAGATGGCATAAATTGCATTTTCACACTGAATTTTCGAAAACTACTAAAGTTCGAAATCTTTTAAGCGTCATTCTACAACTAATAATTTGAAGGTAGATATTTTTCAAATTAAATGTTATCTACAATAAGATTTTTTAATTTTACATACATTTTTGAACATTTTAGTAGGGTTTGCGTAATTTTGAGTGCAATATGAGCAATATTAAACTAGTGGAGCTAAAACAGCACATTCTTTCTCACCTGTAGTAACGGCATGTAATATTATTTTACAGCAATTTCTGTCCATATTAACACATCCCAATGGGCGCTGGCAACAAAAGGCACATATTTTCTTATCAATTCTTGCTTTAACGAACTTTTTTCAGTTTTCATTGTTGTGGTATTATGAAAGTTCTTATAAGACGTTCTTCATGGAAACACTATTACTTCTGTTATGAATTTATAAAATTATTTATCTCTGTGTCTCCAAGTGTATTCAAAGTTTATTCTTAAATGTTTAATTTCATTTAAATAAAAACTTACAACCAAATAAATCCATAGCAATTGAACCCCGGATCTCCCTGAAACCTATTCCCAGATGATTATTAAAATGTATACATCAGTTATAATTCATGAGCAGCATATTCTTAGAATCTGACAAAGAACTGAAATAATTAACACATATTGAATAGTTACACTGCACAGAAGCTGATAAGAAAAGCAACTATCAAATGAGTAATTTTCCAAAGAGAAAAACAAATGTATTTCCATTGTGTTTATAGCCAAAGGTAACAACAGTATTACACACAGTTGTATTGCAGCATGAAGTGAAAGGGCTTGAGTGAGAAGTTCTATTCGAGCCACTAAACCCTTGACAACTATATGGATAAACTGAGTCGTCACTGCTGTGAGAGAGCATCTGGAAAGTGCTCAGACATTGGTTCATGCAATACCACCCAATAAAATGATTGGAAATGAAGGGGGTTTGGAAAGAAGGCATCGAAGTTGAAGTGTTATTTGGTGGAATGGCAAATTTCAAACTTTAAGAATGCTCCTATTAGGTCTTGTGATATAGAAGGGTAATTTTCAATATTCAAAACAAACATTTTTTAAATGGATGAGTCAGAGTAAATAAAATTTGAAAAAAATATGTTTGTTTCCACAGCTAGAAAAGTCGCTAAAAGAGATCTCGATAGTTATTATTTAATTAATTTTTACCTGTGGGTGTTTGGCTATATGATAGCATATATTTGCATGCATATGTCTATTATGAGGCATATATTAGGATTTGATAGTGCACGATATTTCTGCCTTTAGTGATGATACTTTCAAGATATCATCAACATGTCAAGTTAAAAGACAAAAGTATAAAGTTCCACCTGTAATTAACTGATATGGTGAAAGATGCCCCAGATATTAAATTACTTAACTATCTAATGCAATATCACAAAATATATATCATAATGCAAATGATAAAACCTCTTTAAAGTAAAATGGAATGGCTACTTACGCAAATATACTTAATCTGAGAAAAGAAACACAGAATATGAATATAATAAGTGTAAATGAAGCAACATTAATAAACAGAACCTGAAAGTTTGGCAAAGTGCCTTTTACTTTCTCACTAAGGAGTAGAGAGAAAGTTATGTAATGTTGCCCAAACAAAGAAGAATTTTTGACAGAAAAACCCTTATTACAGGTCCCTGGTAACAAAAAAGTGGATAAATACAGTTGCTAAATTAAGCAAAAATCCTCTTAACACATGGTGTAGCCAGAGTCCATGTTTTGGGAGTCCTTGAGACCGAAAAATCGAATGACGGCTAAGCGTGTCTGGCCATCTGTATAACACTAGCGGCTTAATCATTAGTCTAATTTTCTCCAAAATTGATATTCCCGAATCGATCTGGCTGATGTTGCGGCCCCTTGAATTTGAAACCAATTTTTGAATTTTGGGGGTACTTTAAAATGAAGCACCTGCAACATTTTTTTTTTAAAATGGCCCTATCATTTTTGGTTAATTTTTGTTGTCAGATAGTGTGAAGGAAAGAAAATGGTGCAGGTCTTATGTTTGTTAAAAACAATGATTTTTCAAAAATTGCAAAAGTTTAAAAGTTTTTACGGCATCTTCCTCCAACTAAAATATTAAAGACAGAGATTTTTTCCCATAAGGAAATCTGTTCCTTAATGATAGATTTTGAAATAAGGTCATGTACAATTTTTTGAAAACTTGTGTACTTTTCACGTAATTTTGCTAGAAAATAAAAGCGAGAATGTATGTGCTATTTCAACACCTCTAGTTATTTTCTTTCAATTTTATGACTTTCAACAATAGGAATCACATAACTGTACTTCTGGAGTAGATTTTCGTTTTGTATTTTTTAGCCTATTTTAGCTTCAGATACCTCCTTTTGGTATTTTGCTTTATTTTTGTTTTTTTCTTCCTATTCCATCATTATTTTCTTCTGGCACCCATCTCGATCAAACTGGAAACAAATCTGCAAATATGGACAACACAAAGGCACTGTTGTGTTTTGCCTTCCTGTGGAAGCAGGCTCTATGGCCAGGTAGTGTTAAAAATCTAAATGAGAAAGGAAGATGACACCAGTCATTTTTTATTTCTTTCTTTGATGCCATCAAGCTTTGTTGGCTCACCAGGAATCTCATCATACTTTTG